AAAAAAAAAAAAAAGCCACAACTACACAACCAGAGCAACCACAGCTAGGCAGCATGACCGGAAGTTCCCCCCCATAGATACAGGCAGGGCAGGGCCGGCCAGCGGCACTTCCGGTGCCCACGCGCCGCCGCCGCCGCCGCGCAGCTCCCGGGCCGTCACTTTGTGTAGCGCGGGGCCCCTCAGCGGCCCGCAGGCCACGGCCCGGCCTGGCCCGGCTTGCTCGGCGCGCGCGGTGAGTGGGGCGCGCGTGGCCGGGGCGGCGGCGCGGGAGGCAGGTGCGGGGCGGGCCCGGCCGACCCTCGACGCTGGGCGCGGGAGGCCGCGGCGCGCGGCGGGGTCGGGGCCTGGCAGGACCACAGCCCCGCGCGGGCCGGGCTTTGGGAGGCGGCGCCCACGCCCCGCGCGCCTCGTGGACCGCCTCCGCGGGGCCAGCGCGTCCACACCGGGCTGGGAGCCCTGGGGCCGGGCCGGCCCCGCCGCGAGGAGTGGGCGGGCCGCGGGGACCACGCGCGACGCCCCGGGAGGTGTCGGTCACCTCCTCCTTGGCCGCAGGGGAGGGTGCAGGAGCACGGCCGCCCCTCGGGACACACCCATCCAGGAGGGGCTGTCGCCGTGGGTGGTGGAGGGCGATAAACCCCTGGAGGGAGGTGGGAGGGGGGGTCTGGGCTTGGCGCCCCCACCACCTGCTTTGTGACCTTGGAGGGGGTAGTCTCGTCCAAGGCGTCCCTTCTCAGCGCTGGGCAGCCCTGCTGGGTCTTCTGCGTGGAGGTGCCTGGGTAACCCATCACTGGGGTTGGTGGGGCCTCGCTGCTCCCTGGGGCAGCAGGGGTGGGAGAGGGGCCGCCTTTGGTGGAGGTACCAGGAGGGTCCGGGCCCCCAGCTCTGCCTGTGTGGAGAGCCCTTGGCAGTTGATTGGATCCAACAAGTGTTGGCAGGCCTGGGGAGCTGGCTGGGGCGGTGGTGAGGAGGTTGCCATGGGACATCCCGGAAGGCACAGACCCAGGAGGGTGGGGGGAGCGAAATCTACCGAGGGACAGCGGGGGTGGTGGTGGTCAGGGAAGGAGGCCTCCCTGGGGGACGTGAGGTCAGGGTGGCCACCCGCAGGAAGAGGGGACTGGGTACAAGTGTACCCACCGCCTGCATCCCCACTTCTTGGCCTTCCCTGGACTTGGGGTTTGCGTTGAGTTTCTGACATTCTCAAACACTGCCGCGGAAGCGCCTGTAGGGTTACACCCTGGAGTGCAGGGGCCCAGCAGGAATGCACGTCTATGGTGACCCAGGGTTTTGTGTACGCGGAGCTGCGTGCCTGACCTGACCTCTGTGGCCTCAGACCTGCAGCTGGTGCTGCAGGGGTGGTGAGCCAAGTGGGTCTCTGGGGGGCTCGGGACGTTGGGCCTCGGGCAGCAGACGGCCCAGGGCCCGAGCTGACCTGCTCCCGGTCTTCTCTACTGACTCCCGGGTCTGTGCCGCTCTGCTGGCCTCTGGTGACCCCTGGGGGCCGAGTGGGAGGCTTGGAAGAACACTTTTCCCGGCGTCGTCTTCAGAGGCATAGACTCTCCACTGCTTCTCGGATGCTGTGGTCAGCCTGTTGTGGACTGTCAACGGCAGTGGGGAAAAAAAAATCTCATGTCCACTGCGGTGACCTGTAGGTGCCTGGGTAACCCATCACTGGGGTTGGTGAGCCATTTTTAAAGTAAGCGTTGGCATGTTTACTTGGCGGGGGCATTCAGACTGAAGAAGAGAAGGGTCCAGAAGGATCCGAGAAAACATTCTGGTGCTGTGAGCGCACAGCACAGGGAGCCGTGGGTAAGGGGCTGGGGTGGGGAGGGGGCTGCCTCAAGGAAGAAGAAAGGGGAGGGAGTGCCGGGGAGGGAGAATGGCATGAGCAAAGGTCCTGGGGTAGGACAGGCAGGGAGCTGCCGCCATGACAGTCTTCTGTCGGGTCTTCCTGGATGGCAGCTTGGCCTGTGGGAGTCTGAAGTTGCTGCTGCCCCAGGTGGTGGCCAGGCAGGAGACAGCTGGGCTCGGCATGAACGCGCAGCCGGAGGCACAAGCGACAAAGCCGGGGCTTGGAGGTGGCTCGGGCGGCACCAGAGCTGCTTCTGTACCGCAGGCATCTACACTCACCGGAGAGCTGTGGCGGCTGCGGAGGGAGGGAGGCCTCTGGGGAGCCAGGCTGGCTGCGGGGCTCCAGGGTTCGCACCTGCAGCCCCAGGATTCTGGGGTGGGCTTGGCTGGCTTTGGAAATGGGCTCGTTCAGGTCTGAGACACTGGCGAGGTGGGTGCTGGGGACGGCCCTCCAAAGCCTCAGAAGCAGACCCATCAGCAGCTCCACGGGGCAGGGGAAGGCTGTGTAGCTGGAAGGGAGGGGCCGGCCCCAGGCCTACACGTGCCCATCCCACTTGGGTCCACAGCCCTGGGCCCTGGGCTGGCCAGCAGGGTGGCTGGGTCCCCCTCTGAGTCCCTGTGGTTGGCGTTTGGGACCCTGGGAGCCCCTGGGGCTTCAGCAATTCAGCCCTCAGGGTCCTCTGATCACCACAGGTAAAGTTGTGCCACCTGTGCTGGTATGGCAGGGAGCCAGGGTCCCGTGACCTGCTGAGCTTTCCCCGCGTGCCCTGAACTGAGCAGGGGCCCAGAGCAGACGGGAGGGAGCTGCCCGCTCATGGCCTCTTCTCGCCCTGTCTGGCAGGAAGGAACCTGCTCTGGTCTCATCTTTGACCTCAAGAGACCCTCGTCTTGAAGCCTCCCCATCCCGCGCTGAGCTTTGCAAATGCCGCCAGCCTGAGGCCTCCCAGGAGCCCTTCGCCCTGGTCCATGTGTGTTGAGGCCTGGGTAAGCATCTGTTCTCTGGACCGAGTGGGCCGTGCCAGCCCTGGCCGCTGTGTCGCTCAGACTCAGTGCCGCCCCTTGAGGATGGAGACTTGGGGATTCATACCCCACGCACCCCAGAGAGAACAGCTCCTCCCAGGCGTGAGGCGAGAGAGCTGAGGCCACGTCCCAGGGCACATGGGGATGGGCTCTCGGTGTGGAGGTGGGAAGAGCCCCCCGCCCTGCCTCAGCCCCAGGGTATTCAGTCCCAGGTGGCAGGATGAGTCCTGCCTCCCTCCCAAGCCCATGGGAGCCACTGGGGGGCCCTGTGTCGCCGGCAGCACCCATCAGCACCCCATCACCAGGCCCGTGTGTTTCAGGCCGAGCACAGGCTCGCACCCCAGGACGATGGCCGCCCTTCACACCACTCCCGAAGCCCCAGCCGCCCAGCTGCAGAGGGCAGAGGACGGGGCGGAGTGCCATCCTGACCAGGAGGAGGAGGAGGAGGAGGAGGAGGAAGAGGACGAGGAAGAGGAGGACGAGGAGGACGTGGAGGAGGTGCTGGCAGAGGAGCGGAGCTCGGCAGCGGGCAACCGAGAGCAGCCTGGCCGTGGTGGTGATGCGGGCAACCGAGAGCAGCCTGGCCGTGGTGGTGATGCCAGGTCCCCAATTCTTCAGGGGGAGGGTAAGAAAAGGAGCCAGCCCCCCCGGGAGGAAGTGAGGGGAACCTGGCTGGGACATGGCCAGGCCAGGCCGACGGAGCTGGCTGGGCACCAGGGCCCCGGTTTTGAAATGAGGCAGTACCCTGGAGCCCTGGCCCTGCTGGCTGGCTGGCTAGGCTGGGTGCTGGCGGGCAGCTGCCCCTGAGAGATCTTTCCCCTCAGCCCTGCAGGCCCCCCGGGGTCCAGCGGCTCCTGGGGACGAGGACCTGGAGGACGAAGAGGAGGAGGAGGAGGAGGATGACGAGGATGGTTTCCCGACAGCCGAGTCTCAGGTGAACCGCTCTTCCTTGTTTGGCGCTCAGGTAGTCTGGGCAGGGATTCCCCATGGAGCCTCGGCCCCTGCTGTCGCGGAGGCCTTTGTGGGCAGTCGGCACTGGCATCCTCGGGCCAGGCCGGGCTCTGAGTCGGGATGGGCTGCAGGAAGCCCCAGGCCCAGGGTCAGGCTCTGCTTTCCTGGGGCTGACCCTGCCAAGGCCCCTGGGTTGTCCTGATGCTCGTGGCTGCTGGCCACTCAGCTGCACTGTGTACAGTGAAGTCAGAGGCCCAGCTCCCCCCCGGGCCAGGCTGCTCCCCAGGGCCTGCCTGCTGCTGCCCGGTCAGATCAGGCTTCTGTGCCCACAGGGAGTTCATCAATGGCACCGTCCACCCGGGAGGGGGCCCTCCTGCTGCTGCGTTGGCTGTGTCACTTGCCTGGGCCACACTGAGGAGCAGGAGGGGTGCAGGCTTGGGCCTTGTTGTCTCCCGACCTGGCCTTGGACGAGCTGGGCTGTCTACGCTCCCTCAGCCCGAGCCCCTGCCTCTGGGGCTGTGGCCGGGCCTGAAGCCCCCAGTCCCGTTGGCCACGTGTAGACCGTTTGCTAATGGGGCACGGGGCGTTGCGGGGTCTCCGCGTGTCCTCACTGACTGTGCCTGCGCCCCTGGGGTGGCTGAGGGCAGTGTTGGCTTCTGTGTTTCCAGGGGCTGGTGACCTTTGAGGATGTGGCTGTGTACTTCTCCCTCGAGGAGTGGGCGAGGCTGGACGCAAGTCAGCGGGGCCTCTACCAGGAGGTCATGCAGGAGAACTATGGGATCCTGGTGTCCCTGGGTAAGGGGTGCAGGGGCCACCGGGGGCCCCAGGGTCTTAGAGAGGGTGGGTGCTAGAGCTAGCCCACTCCCAGAGGGGACCTGGGACCTCCCTACTTTCAGGGTGGGCCCCATGTGGCCCGGCCACGCTGAGCCAGGTGGGCACGTCCGTGGAGCTGCCGGTCCAGCTCTGGTCTGGGTGCTGTGCAGTCTCCAGAAGCCTCCAGGGTGAGGAGGGAGGTGAGGCGTGAGTCTCCCTCCAGTGAAGGTGTGGGGAGGGGCTTGGCAGGAGGGCGCAGGCTCCCGGGGAGGGGCCAGGTGAGGGGGGCTGGCCCTGGGAAGGGTGGGAGAGGAGAGGAAGCAGGCACGGGCGGGGACAGCAGGGGTCCGCTGTGACGGCCACCCAGCAGCTGCTGCTGCTCTTCCTCCGGGCAGGCTACCCCATCCCCAAGCCGGATCTGATCTTTCGGCTGGAGCAAGGGGAAGAACCGTGGGTCCCAGATAGCCCCCGGCCTGACGAGGGAGACATCGTCACTGGCGTCTACACAGGTGAGCATGCGAAGGATGTTTTTTAAAGAATTTATTTATGTATTTGAAAGGCAGAGCTGCAGGGGGAGAGAGAGAGACAGAGACAGAGATCTTCCATCCCCGATTCACTCCCCAAATGGCCAGAGCTGAGCTAATCGAGAGCCAGGAGCCAGGAGCTTCTTCCGTGTCTCCCACGTGGATGAAAGGGGCCCAGGCACTTGGGCCATCTCCTGCTTTCCCCAGGTGCATTAGCAGGAAGCTGGATTGGAAGTGGAGCAGCTGGGACCTGAACTGGCGCCCCTATGGGAGGCCGGCTGCACAGGCGGCAGCTTTACCAGCTGTGCCACTGCGCCGGCCTCGAGATGCAATTTTGTGGGGTTTGTGCCAATGGTTTCTTGGAGCAGCTGTCAGACTGTGGCCTCCACCTGGGCTCTCTGCAGACACGGGTCCTGTCGCTCCACGTGCTGCCTGTCACAGTCTCAGTGCTGGCAGACTGGGGCACAGGCCCAGTGGTGCAGACAGGCCGGCCATCGGTGCTAAGCCCGGCCTTCACCTTGTAGCTCCTCTTGGGTCTGGCTCCGTAGAAGCCTGTGGCTGAGAGATTCTCAGAGGACCCTAAAAATGATTGTCCGTCCCCACTGTGAAGTCGGGGGTTCTTTTTGTGGGGGGAGGGCCGGTTGTCCACTTGTGGCTTAGAGCCAGGGCGAGGCCGCAGGGGCCCGAGCTGTGCGGTGGCGGAGCGTGTGCGCCCTCTGAGCCAGTCCTCGGCTTCTGCAGCCCTTGGGCCATCTCAGTCTCCTCTGCGCTCCCCAGGAGGCCCCGGGGCAAGCCTCTGACCTGTGGGCAGGTGGGGGCTTTCTGGAGAAGAGGTTTGGGAGTGATGTGTACAGAGGCATCTGGGGTGAGTTTCTCTGGGGGCTTTGGGGCTCGCTGTTAAGTCTGAGCCCCCCTTTATGACCTGGAGTAGGAGGAATGGGGGTGCAGCCCGTGGGCCGGCTGCAGGCCTTGGTCTCGAGTCGCTCGGCGCTGCCCGGTGCGCCACAGGCTCAGGGACCCCCTCGGAGTGTTCAGAGCAGGAGGGCTCTTAGGGGCCAGAGATGCTGATGCCGCCTCCAGGTGAGGCTGGGGTGCCGGTGATGTTTCTCAGAGCACCTCAGGAGGTACGCCCTGTTTGTAGTGGGCTCACCCAGGGAAGCCAGGGGGAGGGGGACCTGGGTCTCGGCCGGCCGAGCTCCTGCTGTGTGGTCGAGCCCTGCCTGTTTTCCACGCCTCGTGGGGTGTCCTGGAGCTGAGCCCGAGGCAGTGCCACGGGCCTGCTGCGTCTGGCTGGGGACTGCGAGCTCCCTGAGGGGCCAGCTGGCCCTGCGCCCCCAGCTGGGCTTCCCCTGTGCCAGTCACAGTCTTGGGGCTGGCGAGGCTGGCGTGCACCCGGAGCAGGCGGAGACTCGGGGGTGTGCTGGAAGGGGATGCAGCTGCAGAGGCTGGGGCAGCTGGAGCCACGCGAGCCCCTGGGGGCGTCCTTGGCTGTGACCGCAGGCACTGGCTGCGAGGCCCCTCCCCCACTGCGCCCTGTGTCTGGGCGTTCCTTTCTGTTCAGCTGAGGCCCATGAGTATACGGGGGCTGGGGGACAGGCGTGCACTGTGCCGAGGCTGGTGGGGTAGCCTCGCTACATGCAGGGGTATCCCTGCCTCGCACTCCTTGATGACCGACTCAGCCGCATTCCGCCACTCAGCTGCCAGCGCCTCCTGGATGCCCCCGGCAGCCCCTTGCTGCCCCTGGCCCACTGGTGCTTGTTCCCCGCTCACTGCTGCGACCCTCCCCCTCCTTAGCTGGCTGGGATGGCAGGGTCTCTGCTCCTTGTGAGTGCCCCTGGCCAGTCCCGCCCCAGGTTGATTTCTGCTCACTGCTCGCCTCCAGCTCCTGGCCAGGGCTTTAAGTGCCGCGTCCCTCCTTGTGCGCCCAGCCCAGCCCTGGTCTTGTCTTCCTGGCTGCGTCCTTGACATCCCCGCCGCCCCCTGCTGCGTGCCAGAGCAGCCCGTGTCCCTGCCCTTCCCGCCCCACGGCCCGGTCTGGCATCAGGCTGTCAGGCCCATGGCCAGGTACCCCTGCGCTGTCAGCCGCCTTGCCCTGGAGGGGCTTCCTTATGTGAGGCCCCTCTCACCTCCTCCCTCCCACCTGCCTCAGGGCCTTTGTGCTTGCTCGCGCTCTGCTGGGGATGGGCGTGCCCCCCCTGCGGCCGGCTCAGGTCCTGGGTCTCCGTGGGCGGCTCAGGTCCTGGGTCTCCGTGGAGTCACGCATTCTTTGTCTTGACTTCAGGAGCCGCAGCCTGCGTGTGGTCACTCCAGGACAGTCGCGGCATCTGCCGCTCTCACTGCAGCCAGAAGGGAGCCGGCCTCCGCGGTTGCCCCCTGGGCTCCTGCTCTTGCCCCAGCAGAGTTGCGCTCCGTAAGAGCAGGCACGGGTCGTGTTCGCTCTGCTCCCGCATGGCGCACCAGGCTGTGCGGGCAGGAGGAGCCTGGTGCCGCACTGCGACTCCCGCTCGCCTGCTGCCGCTCTTCTGAAAGTAGAGGACGCTCGGGGTCCAGCCCGCTTAGTCAAGGGCGTGAGGCCCCGCCGGTCAGTAGCCAGCCCAGCCAGGAATGGGGCGACGGCTGCTCGGGAGCGGCTGGCACCAGCCTGCTGCCCTGGCTCTCACAGACAGCCCGAGGCGCCCCTTCGCTGTGCCGTGCCCAGAGGGGACCTTGGATGTCACCAGGTCCTCCTCTTCTCATCCTGGCCCGGGACAGGGCGTTTGGGTCCTGAATCGTCCTTGTGCTTGGGAGGGGAGGGGGAGGCCTTATGTGGCAGAGCAGTGGGGTGAGGACTGACAGGTGGGCGGGTGCATGTGGCGCGGCGGGTCCTAGACTCTCCTTCCTGTGTGGTCAGTGGGTGGTGTTCACCGCACAGCACACAGAGGAGGCCCCTCGGAGGTGACTGCCAGTGACGAGAGGCGGGTCCTTCACGCAGCCCTGTCCACCTGGCTGGAAGGGACGGCCACTGAAGCCGGTGGATTTGGGCGTGGCTCCCTTGTATACTTGGTCTCTCGGTGACTTCCCCGTGGGGGAAGGGGCTCTCAGCCCATCTGGAGTTTCTGTGTGGAAGGAGGAAATTCCCTGGGGAGGCCTGGGGACGGGTGTGGACTCTACACTGAGAACGGACTTCAGAGCCTGCACCTGGGGCTGGGCAGACTCAGAGCTCCGACTGCCAAGCAGGTGGAGGGTGCTCAGGCGTTGTAGATGGCGGCAGCACAGTTCCCGGGCTGTGTCCCGGTGGGCTGAGCATCGCGTAGCCACCCCAAGGGAATGCCATGGGCCCCACCCACAGGCAGGGCACTCGAAGGAGGTGGCTGGGTGCTGGGCCATTGGGGCCACCAGCTGGAGTGGAACCGGTCTGCAGAGGGCCCCTCCCACAGCCCTGTCCACCTTCGTGGCGACTTCCGGGCTGCGGGCACCACCTTGTATTCGGAGGTCCCTGTGCATCGGTGCCTCTACCCCTGCCCCGCCCCACACCGAGCCTCGATTCTGCATCAGCTGCTAGCAACCAGGAGACCCTGGTGTGAGCTGGGGTACGCCCTCCCCCACCCCGCCCCTTCCTGGGCACAGAGGTGGCCTCCAGAACAGAACCCACCTGCCCCAGGGCCGTCTCTGGTGAGCGGTTGGGCCTGACGGTGGGAAGGGGTGTGGCCTAGGGAAGGGCGTGGCCTAGCGTTTGAGGGATTAGAAGCAGGGAGCACCCAGGGTCCCCAGCTGGGCGCTGGGCTGGCCTCGGAGACTGCGGGGCCAATGGGCGGCACCCAGTCCTGGTGATGACAGCGATCATTGGCTACTGAGTCCAGGCAGCACCGGCACGAAGGGATCCCACTTGGTTAGAAACCCGCCTTCCAGCTGGGGACACTGGAGGTAGACGAGGTCCCACGTCCAGGGAGCGGTGGGAGTGGGGTTTGGGCCCCAGTGGGCTCGTAGCATTGGGCGCCCTCGCGTGGAAGCTGAGGGAGAAGCGGTGGAGGGCCCGGCCCAGGCTGTCCTTGCAGGGCTGCGCAGAGCCCACTGGGCATGCGGGTTTGGGGAGCCCCTGCCTGTGCAGCCCTGCTCCCATCAGAGGGGCTGAGACGGTGTCGGCATCTGCGGAGGACAGCCGAAGCAGTCTTCCCGGAGACACCTGTGGCCCTGAGGGTTTTCTGGTTTTTCTTGTCCAAAATTGTTAGTGATTTGGAAAGTTGAGACAGAGAGCTTCCGTCCACGGGTTCATGCCTCAGGTGCCCACAACAGCCAGGGCTGGGCCAGGCTGAAGCCAGGAGCCCGGAACTCCATCCGGATCTCCCACGTGGGTGGCAGTGGCCCACGTACCTGAGCCGTCACCTGCTGCCTCTCAGGGTGCACATCAGCAGGAAGCTGGGGTCGGAGCGGAGCCAGGACTGGAGCCTTCGTGCTCTGATGTGGGATCTGGGCGTCCTAGTTGTGTCTGAACCGCTGCCCCCTGTGCCTGCCCTTGCTCCCGAGGGTTTAATCCACATACTTGGCACCTTGTTTGTTTGGACTCTGCCTCCCCCCAACTCCTCCATAGTAGATCAGAACCGCGTGTCGTACCAGGGTCTCCCTGTGCCTGACTCGGACACAGGCTGTGACAGTGACCTTGTGGCGAAGCCCAGGTTTCCCCTCTGCAGACAGAGCTGGGAGCCCTGGTCCTGCTGCTGCCTTGTATCTGTAACTCCCTGTGGCCTGCAGGATCTTCCTGGAGGCCTGGCTGACTGTTGCTAAGGCCAAGTCCTTGAAGCAGATGCTGGGCACAGGGGGCTGAATTCCAGCTCCCACCCAAAGCCTGCCTCCCTGCACCCCGAAGCGTGGGGTGACAGTTGAGTTTGAGCCACTGGCCCACCGTCCGTTTGCTTTCTGCCCCTCCTGTCCAGTGTCCTGGCTGCCCTTGGCTGGGTCTGAAGGGTGGAGCTGATGAGTTCTCATTTTAGGTCTAAAACGACATCGCCCCTGGGAATGCCATCCGCGGAACAGCTGGTAGTGGTGGGCCACTTTGGCTGCAGGGGACAAGCCAGGCCTGGCCTCGGCACGCTCATCTCCCCTGGGGTCTTTTCTGGGATCTGGTCTGACTGTCCAGGGACCAGGGTGCCCCACCCAGTATCCTGGGGGCCCCGCCCCACGCTTATTCTCCTTGTGGGACAAGCGGCCACTTGTGCTCCAGAACTAGCGGCTGAGGTCCCCCAGGTCTCTCAGACTGGTCCACGCTACACAGCCCTCAAGGGTGGGGTGGGGCTGGGGTGACCTTTCCCACCCTCTCAAACCCCACCTGCATCCGAGGCTACCTGGTGGCAGGCCTCTGAGAGTGATGACCCAGCTGCTGCGGCCCAGCCCTTGGCCCTGCCCTGAGGAGCACGGAGTCACCTGCCCCACTGGAGAAGCCCACCTGCTCCGTGCTGTGAATGGCCCTGCCCGAGAGTCTCCTCAGGGCTCATCTGGGCCAAGGGAAAATCCTTTTGATCATCAGCCCAAACCCTCCCTCCAGCCTCCCGGATGAGGGGCGGGGGAGTTGGTATGGAGCAGACGGGCATCCAGTGAGGAGGACCCAGGCCTCCCTGCCACTCGAGGGCCACAGCGCTTCCCATCACTCATTGCAGCTGTAGGCAGCGCTTGCGGTAACTCAGCTTAGTAAAGAAGCGAGTGTTTTTAAAAAGTTGGGTTTTTTTTTTTTAATGATTTATTGATTTGAAAGGCAGTTACGGGGCGGGGGAGGGAGGAAGGGGGAGAGATCTTTTATCCCCTGGTTTACTTTCCAAATGGCCGCAATGGCTGGATCTGGGCCAGACCAAAGCCAGGAGCCTGGAGTTACTGCTGAGTCTCCCATGTGGGTGGCAGGGACCCAAGCACTTGGGCCATCCTCTGCTGCTTTCCCAGGAACATTAGCAGGGAGCTGGATCAGAAGTGGAGCAGCTGGGACTCGAACTGGTGTCCATATGGGGGGGGGGTTGCCAGCACTGCAGGGGGTGCCTTAGCCAGCTACACCACAGTGCCAGCCTCTAGAGACTTATTATTATTATTATTATTTCTTATTTGAAAGGCAAAATGACAAAGGTAGGGAGAAAGACTGTGCTTTTATCTGCTAGTTTCCTCCCCAGATGCATGCAACAGCCAGGGCTGAAGCCAGAAGCTCCGCCCCGGCCCCCATGTGGGTGGGGGGGACTCAGGGACCTGCGCCATCCTCTGCTGCCTCCCAGGGTGTGGGTTAGCAGGGAGCCCAAGCACCCAGGACTTGAGCCAGGTGCTCTGCTATGGACGTGAATGTCCCGAGCGTGGCTCAGTCCACTGCGCCACAAGGCCTGCCCCGATGGGGAGCTTTTTATTTCAAGCTAATTAGTAAAGGGATGAGCACCCAGAAGGTATCACACACTGTGAAAAGGGCTGGCCTGGTGGCACAGCGGGTTACGCCACTGCTTACGACACCAGCATCCCATATTGGAATGCCCCAGCTGCCCTGCTTCTAGTCCAGCTTCCTGCTAATGAGCCTGGGCAAGCAGTGGACAGGGCCCCAGTGCGGAGGTCTCGGGAGACCTGGATGGAGTTCCTGACTCCTGGCTTTGGTCCAACCCAGCCCGTCATCACAGCCATTTGGGGAGTGAAGCCTGCTCAATCTCTCTCTGCCTTTCAAATAAAATAATTAAAAAAATAGCACGACTCACTTTCTTACCCTCTTACACAGCACGTATCTTCCTCCCAGCGCGAGTCAGGCTGCGTAGCTGTGTGTGTGGCTTCGCTTCCCTGGGCACTGCACTGTGTCGGTGCGTGCCTCCAGGCGCCCACATAGAATGTCAGGACGTGGGCTGTGTGTGGGGCCCAGCCACCCGGCAGCGTGTAGTGCTGGGCCCTGGGAGCCAGCCCTCCCTTGAAGGTGGTCCAAGCTCATGCAGCCAGAGGACTGGAGTGGAGGGGAGAGCCCCATCCCTGTTGTGAGAGCTTGGATCTCTGGGTGCTGGGCTTCTGAGGTGGCCAGAGCACAGGTGCTTTCTCTGTGTAAGTGCCTGCCCCGTCAGCAGCACTTGAGTGTCAAGATGGCAGGTCTGTGGGTGGATCCCATGTCTGTGCTGCCCACACAGCCCCCTTGGGTGGCAGAAGGGAGAGGCCAGGGTGGACAGGAAGGCTGAGACTCAGGGGCTTGGCCTTTCGTTCGGGGAAGGTGCTCCCAGCTCACCCACACTCAGCACGGTGGGACAGAAGGGCCATGCTGGTGGCAGCTTAGGGAGAAAGCCAGAGAAGGGGTCAGAAACCTGGGGCACAGCACTGGAGCCTGGCCAGATCAGTGGCAGCGTCAGCCCCTGGCCAGGCCAGCCTTCCACCTCCCCTGTGCATGTAAGAGGGAGCCCCTGACTGCTGCGGAGAGCGGGAGGGAGGCCGAGCGAGGCTCCCGGGCTCACAAAAGCAGGTTCTGGGTCGCAGGCAAGGCTGTGCTAAGCTGGTGGGAGAGGCAGGGTCCTCTGGAGACAAACAGGCTTCTGGCCCCGCCCCTCTTCCTGGTCACCCGACCCTGATGGAGCCTTAGGCCTGGGTCTCAGCCAGACCCCCAGACAAGCTGTACCCCGGGAGCTGGTGACCTGGAACAGGTGTTAGGGGCCAGTCATAGAAGAAAAGGGCAGGCCTCGGTTAGTTAGGGTGGCTGCGGGCCTGCGCAGCCCCGCTCGCGCGAATGGAGGTGCCCGTGCGGCCTTGGGCGGAGGTCCCCCGAGCCAGCCAGAGCGTCGCTGACCTTCGTTCTGGCCTGCCTTTGTTGCCTCCAGGAGCCTGGTTCTGGGCCGACGACATGGAGGACCACGAGGAGGAAGATGATGAGGACTTCCTGGCGGAGGTGGCTGAGGAGGAGAATGAGCCCCCGGGGCTGTGGTCAGCGGCCTATGGTGTGGGGGACGTGCCTGGGACTTGGGGTCCGGATGACTCGGATTCGGCGCAGACTCCCGAGAGGTGGGGGCCTGACCCCGGCGACGTGGGTGTCCTGGCTGAGGGGTCGGAAGCTAAGCCTTTCCTGGCTGGCCGGGACCCCGGCGCGAACCTGTTGGCACCCTGGGCGTTCCCGGCAGCGGTGGCAGCCCAGGCCGGTAGGCCGGAGACCACTTGCGACGTGTGCGGCAAGGTGTTCCCGCACCGGTCGCGGCTGGCCAAGCACCAGCGCTACCACGCCGCCGTCAAGCCTTTCGGCTGCGACGAGTGTGGCAAGGGCTTCGTGTACCGCTCGCATCTGGCCATCCACCAGCGCACGCACACCGGCGAGAAGCCCTTCCCGTGCCCGGACTGTGGCAAGCGCTTCGTCTACAAGTCGCACCTGGTCACGCACCGGCGCATCCACACCGGCGAGCGGCCCTACCGCTGCGCCTTCTGCGGCGCGGGCTTCGGGCGCCGCTCCTACTTGGTAACGCACCAGCGCACGCACACGGGCGAGCGGCCCTACCCGTGCCCGCACTGCGGCCGCAGCTTCAGCCAGAGCTCGGCGCTCGCGCGACACCAGGCGGTGCACACAGCTGACCGGCCGCACTGCTGCCCGGACTGCGGCCAGGCCTTCCGCCTGCGCGCCGACTTCCAGCGCCACCGGCGTGGTGGCGGCTGTGCCGAGCCCGGCGGCGAAGGCCCTCGGCGGGAGCCCCGTGAAACCACAACCACGGCGGGTCCCAGGGAAGCCGAGGCCAGGCCCGAGGGGTCTGAGGAGCCCGAGGCTGCTGAGGCGGAAGGAGAGCGGGAGGCTGAGGCCAGAGAGGCGGAGGAGACGCCCACCCCCATGAGCAAGGAGGACCGCGAGCGGGACAGGCGGTTCCCCAACCTGGGCAATGGCCTGGGTGAGGGCGAAGGCCCTTCCTCGCACCCACTTGGCTTCCACTTCCCTGTGCACCCCAAGTCCTGGCTCCACCCGGACGGCTTCCCGATCCTGGGCCTCCCAAACTTCGGGGAGCGGGTTCCGGCCGACGGGCGTCCCATGCCGGGACCGCTTGGGGGCCCCCTCTCCCTGGTGGAGGGCGCGGGACTGGCCTGCGATCCCTTCGGTGGAGGCGGGGCCGGGAGCGTTGGCAGTGGCCTGCGTGCGTTCGGGCCCGCGGTCGGGGGACTGCTGTCCGAGCCCGCGCCCGCCGCGCTGGCGGAGGAGGAGAGTCCGTGGATCTGCTCGGACTGCGGCAAGACGTTCGGGCGCCGCGCCGCGCTGGCCAAGCACCAGCGCTACCACGCGGGCGAGCGGCCGCACCGCTGCGCAGACTGTGGCAAGAGCTTCGTGTACGGCTCCCACCTGGCGCGCCACCGGCGCACCCACACGGGCGAGCGGCCCTTCCCGTGCCCCGAGTGCGGCGCGCGCTTCGCCCGCGGCTCGCACCTGGCGGCGCACGTGCGCGGCCACACCGGCGAGAAGCCCTTCGTGTGCGGGGTGTGCGGCGCAGGCTTCAGCCGCCGCGCGCACTTGACGGCGCACGGGCGTGCGCACACCGGGGAGCGGCCCTATGCGTGCGGCGAGTGCGGACGCCGCTTTGGGCAGAGCGCGGCGCTGACGCGGCACCAGTGGGCGCACGCCGAGGAGAAGCCGCACCGCTGCCCCGACTGCGGCAAGGGCTTTGGCCACAGCTCGGACTTCAAGCGGCACCGGCGCACGCACACGGGCGAGAAGCCCTTCCGTTGCGCCGACTGCGGCCGTGGCTTCGCGCAGCGCTCCAACCTGGCCAAGCACCGGCGCGGCCACACCGGCGAGCGGCCCTTCCCGTGCCCCGAGTGCGGCAAGCGCTTCTCGCAGCGCTCGGTGCTGGTGACGCACCAGCGCACGCACACGGGCGAGCGGCCCTACGCCTGCGCCAACTGTGGCCGCCGCTTCTCGCAGAGCTCCCACCTGCTCACCCACATGAAGACGCACCGCGGCGCGGCAGGCGCGCCCGGGCAGGCGGCGACGGCTCCCGCGCCCAAGGCCGAGGCTCCCGCCAAGGCGCCTCCCGGTACGGGCGTGAGCAGTGGGTCAGGGGAGCGTGGCAGCGCCCTGCTGGAGTTCGCGGGTGGCACGAGCTTCGGTTCGGAGCCCTCGCCTGCGTTCGCGGGGCCGTCGGGCACCTACGAGGAACGCGTCCTGTGAGGAGCCCGAGGCCGTCGGGAGCGCAGTCCACAAGGGTCACCGGGGCAGCTCGGGTGCAGGCCGCTGCGCACTGGCGCCTGGCTCCCTTGGCCTCGGGAGGCTGAGGGTCCCGGTGCTGGGTGCGGTGCCTTCCTTCAGCTCCTGCCCCCGCCCCACGGCCGCGGGGATTTCTCACGGCTGGGGCCGCCCCACGTGCGCGGGGGCAGGCGGCACTATTTATTGTACTGAACGCCGGCTTGGGCGGCCCGCGGAACAAGTGACTGACGAGTGTGCGACTGTGGCGGGGCAGGGGAGGCCGGGGCAGTCCAGAGAGTGCGTGACTGTGTGGCGAGGGGAAGCCTGGCAGGTTTCCGGAGGAAGGGGCCCCCTTGCCCTGGCGGAAGAGAGGCGCGAGGGAAGGCGTTTATCGTGGCCGTTACTGGTGGACGCTTGTTTCCATCTCGGGTTCCCTGAAGAGAGCGGGAGGAGGAAAAGGAAGCCAGAATCCAAGCCCATGCAGGGGCAGGCAGTCGCAGGCATCCCTGGGGGGCCCCCACACCCTGCTTCTGCGCCCAGGTCAGCCGGGCGCTAGCTGGTCAAGCCTCAGCGTCCTCCGAGTCCCCTGGGCCTCCCGTCCCCGGCAGCCGGACGCGGCCTACCCAGATACCACCGGGCGCCCAGAGCAGCAGGTGGGTGCGCCCGGCCCTGCCCGGCCACTCCCAGAGTCCTTCAGGGTACAGCAGCTGAGGTTGGAGGAAGGATCTTCCCTGCCTTCCGAGAGGGCAGCGGGTTCCTTGAACTCTTGCTGCATTTGCGTTCAGATCCCCCTCGTACGGTCGTCAGGGGTGGGGGCGGTTTGTGCAGCGGTGGGGACTGAGCCCCGGGGTTCGGTGATACAGCAGGCACCCAGCTGTGTGTATTCCCTCTCCCCGCCCCCGCACCCTCTGGACTGGACAGCTGAATCCTGATTCGCGGGGGGTCCCTTGCGTCACATCTTTTGGGCCAATGCGAGTGGGGCTGGGAAACCTAACTGCATTCCCTTGTAGACCCTAGTTCTGTTTAGCGTAGACATGGCCTCGGGGGCTGGGCCCACAGCCAGGCTGCTGGGGGCTGGGGTGGGGTAGGAGGCTCGGTGTGGACCGTTGGTGGGTGGGAGGAGGGCCAGGGTGGTGGTGGTAAGACTTAGCCCAGCTGGTGAGGTCGTGGGGCAGGGTGGTGAGGAGGGCCCTGCCGCGGCTTCTCTCCCCGCCAGGTTTCTCCTCTCCTTGGACCCTGTGAACCTCGAAGGGCCGTGGGCTGGAGGGGCCTGGGCGGTCCCAGCCGCGGCTGCCCTGCCTGCAGCTGTGGGCAGGACCTAGCTTTAATAAAGAGTGGAGAAGCGAGCTCTCGTGTGGCTCTGTCCTGTTGCCGTCCCTCCCCACCCACCCTCACCAGGAGGCTGCACAAGGCCTCAGGCCCACCTCCCTTTCTGCAGATGCGGTAGGAATTTTCTAGAACTAGACTGGTCCTAGGACAGCCGACGAGGAGGTGGCCCCCTGTGCGTCCTGAGTCTGCCCACCTCTCAGCTCCCCACGTTGTCGCCCGTTCTCCTACTCGGGTAGCACTGCGTTTAGGCCAACCTTGCCGTGCTCTGAGAGGGACTGGGTCACCTGCCAGGTGGTCCAGGCACAGTCTTGGGCCTCTGAGGCCCCAACACCATGTGGGTCTACCCAAGGGCCTGCCTGCTGCAATACCAGGGCCGCCAAACATCCGCCTCTACACTGGTTTATTGGCTTTTTGTGTTCTGGCATGGCCTTCCCTATAGGGTGGCAACAGTGGACAAGAGAGCGAGTTGTCTTCTCAGGGGCTGATTCGGAGGCATCAGAACAGGGCAGCCCAGTGTTTCCGTTTAAAACAAAGCCACCAGGCTCTGCAGCAGCCGGCAGACACCAAGACCTGGGTAAGGCCTTGGGGGGGGGTCCCCCTGGCCACTCAGGAAAGCTGCAAGATCCTCAGGGAGAGCTCACGGTTGGTTGCCCAGCTGAATACTGGCTTATTTTGGTGGTGGTGGGGGCACCCATCCTAGAGTCATACAAAGAGAGTGGGTGCATTGCCCGGTGAGCTGTGGAATGTGACCCACTGGGTGCAGCACCCAGAGGGCACCCGGCCCTGCACACCTGGCTCCCCTCCTCCGACCTTTTTCATGGTCATTTTTCTCTCTTCCCTCTCTGATTCCTTTCTCTGTCTTTTCACATCTCTGCACACATTCCCTTCTCTTTGTTCAGTGGTCGGCTACATGTGGAATATAGTGTTTTGCAACCCTTTGGTTGTACTTGTTAAATGAAGCTTTGTGATCTTTGCTCATTATTTTTTTCCTGGCTGTGATAGGCAGGCCAGTTGTGGACCTTCCACTGTTACAAAGCAGTCCTGTCCACCTTGACCACCTACAGAGTCCTCCCACACCGACTGCCCGGCACAGCTCTGTGGGCGCAGACGCCTTTATAAAGGTTTATTATATTTAAAAGGCAGACTTAGAGGGGCCGGCGCTGTGGTGCAGTGGGTTAACACACTGGCCTGAAGCACCAGCATCCCATAAGGGTGCCAGTTCTAGTCCTGGCTGCTCCTCTTTCAATCCAGCTCTCTGCTATGACCTGGAAAAGCAGCAGAAGATGGCCAAGTCCTTGGGACCCTGTGCCCATGTGGGAGACCCAGAAGAAGCTCCTGGCTCCTGGCTTTGGATTGGCGCAGCTCCAGCTGTTGTGGCCATCTGGGGAGTGAACCAGTGGATGGAAGACCTCTCTCTCTGTCTTTACCTCTCTCTGTAACTCTTTCAAATAAATAAAATAAATCTTAAAAAAAAAAAACTTCCCTATGCACACCAGCTGAGGAAGTGTATTTTAAAAAAAAGAAAGGCAGACTTAGAGGGAGAGACAGAGAGAGTGCGAGAGAGCATGAGCTTCCATCCTCTGGTTCACTCCCCAGATGGCTGCAATGGCAGGGGCTTCTTCCAGGTCTCCCACGTGCGTGCAGGGGTCCAAGCACTTGGGCCATCTTCCACTGCTCTCCCAAGCCCTAAGCAGAGAGCTGGATTGGAAGAGGAGCATCTGGAACACAAACTGGTGCCCATATGGGACGCTGGTCCTGCAGGTGGAGGCTTAGCCTACTATGCCACAGCACCGGCCCCATACATATTATTTTAAATTTTTAAAATTATTTGAGAGGCACGGAGAAAGTGTGCTCTCCTTGCTGACTCCTTCCTCAGATGCCCGCAGGCTGGAGCCAGGAACTCCATCTGGGTCTCCCACGTGGGCAGCAGGAACTCAAGTACTTGAGCCATCCCTGCTGCCTCCCTGGGTCTAATATGAGCAGGAAGCTGGAGTCGGGAACCGGAGCCAGGAACTGAACCCAGATACTTTGCTACCGGATGGAGCTGCCTTAACCAGTGTCCTCCTGCCGGACCAAAACGCACTCCCTCGGCTGCTGTTTTAACCTTTGCTTTGTTCTTCACCTTGCACAGGTGAGTGGCTTGCATTTCTGTGTCTTTTTAACATGGAATTAAGTTATTTTTTTGTCCTGCCACAGCTCCCAGTGGGCCCTCAATCAGATCAGGGGCTGGCAGGAAGTCACATGTTTTGTTCATGAATTCAGCAAAATCCCTGCGCCCTTCCCCTGGGCGGAGTACCCACTGTGGGTTCTGCAGCGTGGCCGGGTTGGTGGCATGTTAATGGCCTCCATGGCCCAGCCCGATAAAGCGTTCCAGTCCTCTAACTCATCGGCTTGGAGTGCGTCCCACTGGGCACCCGTGGAGAGAGGTCCATTTTATGTTCCTGTGACCTGGGGTATGTGTGTGGGAGTGTGCACAGACACACATTTAGTAAACCAACACTTTACTGCATTTTTCATTCTGCTCACTTGATGCTATCTCAGCCCACGGCGGCTCTCACGTGCTGTGAGAGCCACGGTTTGAATTCTTGTAGATTCCCCTGGTAGTCAAAAAGAGGGACAGAGATCCTCACCTCTCAGGGCAAAGGAATGTCAAAGAATTTCCTGGCCACTGTTTTTAGCTTTTATTACCTATTTCCATTTTATTTGAAAGATTTAGAGACAGAGATCTTCCATCCACTGGTTCACTTTCTTTTTTTTCTTTTTTTTTTTTTAAAAGATTTATTTATTTATTGAAAGAGTTATACAGAGGGAGAAGGAGAGAGAGAGAGAGATCTTCCACGGCTGGTTCACTCCCCAGATGGCCGCAACAGCTGGAACTGTGCCAATCTGAAGCTAGGAGCCAGGAGCTTCTTCCGGGTCTCCCATGCGGGTGCCAGGGCCCAAGGACTTGAGCCATCTTCTACTGCTTTCCCAGGCCATAGCAGAGAGCTGGACAGGAAATAGAGTAGCTGGGACCCAAACTGCCACCCATTTGGGATACCGGCATTGCAGATGGTGGCTTTACAGGCTACACCACAGTACCGGCCCCAGGTTCAATTTCTAAATGCCCGCAATGACCAGGGCTGGGCCAAGCTAAAGCCGGGGTCAGGAACCAGCAACTCCATCTGGGTCTCCCATGTGGGTGGCAAGGACCCAAATACTTGAGCTGTTGTCACCTGCCGCCTTTCCAGGGTGTGCATTAGCAGGAAGCTGGATTTGGGAGCAGAGCTGGGACTCCATGTGGGGTGTGCGTGTCCCTTGTGGCAATCTGTCATGCTTAGATGCGTGTTGCCTTCATGTGGGATTTGAGGGTTCCTTCAGCAGAATGGCCACACACACACCCACACACACACACCCGCCCCGAGAGTGCCGCTCCTTCCTCCTACTCCACGGAAGAGGATCCACCGGAACCCACCTGACACTCGACGGAAGCCACCAAAAGTGGCAGAGGAAATGGAAGAGGACTTCAGAGGTTTAAAAATTAGCTTCTTCCGAGACTCATGAAGACACTGCATGTGCAAAATAAGGACTGGGGCAGGCGTTGTGGCACCGCGGGGCAAGGCACCACGTGGGACGCTTGCATCCCGTAACTGGAGTGCTGGCTTGCATCCCGGTTCCTCCACTTCTGATCCAGCTCCCTGCTAATGCACCTGGGAAGGCAACAGATGATGGCCCAAGTACTTGGGTCCCCGCCAACAACACAGGGGCAACCTGGATGGAGTTTCTGGCTCCTGGCCTTGGCCTAGCCCAGCCTTGGCAGTTGTGGGCATTTAGAAAGTGAGACATCAGATGGAAGATTCTCTCTCTCTCTCTCATAAATAAATAAATAAATATTTAAGAACTGGATGTTGGGGCCGACGCCGCAGCTCACTAGGCTAATCCTCTGCCTAGCGGCGCCGGCACACCGGGTTCTAGTCCCGGTCAGGGCGCCAGATTCTGTCCTGGTTGCCCCTCTTCCAGGCCAGCTCTCTGCTGTGGCCAGGGAGTGCAGTGGAGGATGGCCCAAGTGCTTGGGCCCTGCACCCCATGGGAGACCAGGAGAAGCACCTGGCTCCTGCCATTGGATCAACGCAGTGCACTGGCCACAGCACGGCGGCGGCGGCCATTGGAGGGTGAACCAACGGCAAAGGAAGACCTTTCTCTCTGTCTCTCTCTCTCACTGTCCACTCTGCCTGTGGAAAAAAAAAAAAAAAGTAGAGTTTAATTTTTTTTTTAATTGAGTTGCAAGAGCAACAGAGAGACAGGGAGAGAGAGATCTTCCATTGCTGGTTCACTTCCCAAATGGCTGCAACAGCCAGGGCTGGGCCAGGCCGAAGCCAGGAGCCAGGAACTCAAAAACCAGGCTTCCCACGTGGGTGGCAGGGGTCCCAGCACTTGGGCCATCTCCCACTGCTTTCCCAGGATCAGAAGTGGAGCAGTGGGGACTTGACCCGGATAGGGGCACACGCACTACAAACAGTGGCCTGCTCTGCTGTGCCACCATGCTGGCCCTAGTAAACATTCTTAAAGAAACATAAAACAACACCATTTTGCACTTAAAATGACTAACTAATTGTTTGGTATCGCTGAGTCTTCAATGTTCTTATGTCCCTGTCTCTTAAGGATGGATGTGTGTTAATGTTCGCTTCAACCTGTTGTTTAAATTAGGACAGATAAGACCCACACATTGCGATCTGTTGATGTCTTTTAAATCTCTTATAATTACCCTGGAATTTCTTTATTGGAGATACTAGATCCTTTGTCCTGTTGGGGTTTCTGGATCACGTTCAATGTGGTGTCACTTGAAAAAAAAAAATTTTTTTTTTTTTGACAGGCAGAGTTAGACAGTGAGAGAGAGAGACAGAGAGAAAGGTCTTCCTTCCATTGGTTCACCCTCCAATGGCCGCCACGGCCGGTGCACCGTGCTCATCTGATGGCAGGAGCCAGGTGCTTCTCCTGGTCTCCCATGGGGTGCAGGGCCCAAGCACTTGGGCCATCCTCCACTGTACTCCCTGGCCACAGCAGAGAGCTGGACTGGAAGAGGGGTAACTGGGACAGAACCGGCGCCCCGACCAGGACTAGAACCCGTAGTACCGGTGCCGCAGGTGGAGGATTAGCCTAGTGAGCCACGGCGCCGGCCGTCACTTGACATTTTTAAAAATTTATTTTCATTTTATCTGGAAGGCAGAGAAACAGACAGATGCTGTCTTTCACCTGCTGGTTTACTCCCCAAATACTCACAAGAGCCAGGGCTGGGTCAGGCTGCAGCCAGGAGCACAAAGCTTAATCCAGCTCTCCCAAGTAGGCGGTAGGGACTCAAGTACTTCAGCCACCACCTGCCGCCTCCAGGGTGCCCATTAGCAGGAGATCTGGGAGCAGGTGCCCAAGCAGCACCTCAGCTGCTGGGCCGGACGCCTCCTCCCTGTGCTGCCATTCACACGGCCTCTTGGTTTATTTTTTTTTTTTTTCCTGTTACTTCTAATGGCCTCGACGGGCAAAGTTGACCGTGAGAGAGAAGAGACAGAAAGAAAGGTCTTCCTTTTGCTGTTGGACCCTCCA